CTCGTAGCTTCACATCACCTGTGTCCTGCATTGTTGTGTCAGCATGCTAATGTTAGCGCTCTTTAGTTAGCTCGTAGCTTCGCATTGTTGTGTCAGCATGCTAATGTTAGCGCTCTTTAGTCAGCTCGTAGCTTCGCATTGTTGTGTCAGCATGCTAATGTTAGCGCTCTTTAGTCAGCTCGTAGCTTCGCATTGTTGTGTCAGCATGCTAATGTTAGCGCTCTTTAGTCAGCTCGTAGCTTCACATTGTTGTGTTAGCATGCTAATGTTAGCACTCTTTAGTTAGCTCGTAGCTTCACATTGTTGTGTCAGCATGCTAATGTTAGCGCTCTTTAGTTAGCTCGTAGCTTCACATTGTTGTGTCAGCATGCTAATGTTAGCGCTCTTTAGTTAGCTCGTAGCTTCACATTGTTGTGTCAGCATGCTAATGTTAGCGCTCTTTAGTCAGCTCGTAGCTTCACATTGTTGTGTTAGCATGCTAATGTTAGCACTCTTTAGTTAGCTCGTAGCTTCACATTGTTGTGTCAGCATGCTAATGTTAGCGCTCTTTAGTCAGCTCGTAGCTTCACATTATTGTGTCAGCATGCTAATGTTAGCGCTCTTTAGTTAGCTCGTAGCTTCACATCATTGCATTGTTGTGTCAGCATGCTAATGTTAGCGCTCTTTAGTTAGCTCGTAGCTTCACATTGTTGTGTCAGCATGCTAATGTTAGCGCTCTTTAGTTAGCTCGTAGCTTCACATTGTTGTGTCAGCATGCTAATGTTAGCGCTCTTTAGTTAGCTCGTAGCTTCACATAGTTGTGTTAGCATGCTAATGTTAGCGCTCTTTAGTTAGCTCGTAGCTTCACATCAGCTGTGTCCGGCATTGTTGTGTCAGCATGCTAATGTTAGCGCTCTTTAGTCAGCTCGTAGCTTCACATTGTTGTGTCAGCATGCTAATGTTAGCGCTCTTTAGTTAGCTCGTAGCTTCACATCATTGTTGTGTCAGCATGCTAATGTTAGCGCTCTTTAGTTAGCTCGTAGCTTCACATTGTTGTGTCAGCATGCTAATGTTAGCGCTCTTTAGTCAGCTCGTAGCTTCGCATTGTTGTGTCAGCATGCTAATGTTAGCGCTCTTTAGTCAGCTCGTAGCTTCACATTGTTGTGTTAGCATGCTAATGTTAGCACTCTTTAGTTAGCTCGTAGCTTCACATTGTTGTGTCAGCATGCTAATGTTAGCGCTCTTTAGTTAGCTCGTAGCTTCACATAGTTGTGTTAGCATGCTAATGTTAGCACTCTTTAGTTAGCTCGTAGCTTCACATCAGCTGTGTCCGCATTGTGTGTCAGCATGCTAATGTTAGCGCTCTTTAGTCAGCTCGTAGCTTCACATTGTTGTGTCAGCATGCTAATGTTAGCGCTCTTTAGTTAGCTCGTAGCTTCATCACTGTGTCCTGCATGTGTGTCAGCATGCTAATGTTAGCGCTCTTTAGTTAGCTCGTAGCTTCGCATTGTTGTGTCAGCATGCTAATGTTAGCGCTCTTTAGTCAGCTCGTAGCTTCGCATTGTTGTGTCAGCATGCTAATGTTAGCGCTCTTTAGTCAGCTCGTAGCTTCGCATTGTTGTGTCAGCATGCTAATGTTAGCGCTCTTTAGTCAGCTCGTAGCTTCACATTGTTGTGTTAGCATGCTAATGTTAGCACTCTTTAGTTAGCTCGTAGCTTCACATTGTTGTGTCAGCATGCTAATGTTAGCGCTCTTTAGTTAGCTCGTAGCTTCACATTGTTGTGTTAGCATGCTAATGTTAGCACTCTTTAGTTAGCTCGTAGCTTCACATCAGCTGTGTCCGGCATTGTTGTGTCAGCATGCTAATGTTAGCGCTCTTTAGTCAGCTCGTAGCTTCACATTGTTGTGTCAGCATGCTAATGTTAGCGCTCTTTAGTTAGCTCGTAGCTTCATCAGCTGTGTCTGCATTGTTGTGTCAGCATGCTAATGTTAGCGCTCTTTAGTTAGCTCGTAGCTTCACATTGTTGTGTCAGCATGCTAATGTTAGCGCTCTTTAGTTAGCTCGTAGCTTCACATTGTTGTGTCAGCATGCTAATGTTAGCGCTCTTTAGTCAGCTCGTAGCTTCACATTGTTGTGTCAGCATGCTAATGTTAGCGCTCTTTAGTAGCTCGTAGCTTCACATAGCTGTGTCGCATGTTGTAGCATGCTAATGTTAGCGCTCTTTAGTCAGCTCGTAGCTTCACATTGTTGTGTCAGCATGCTAATGTTAGCGCTCTTTAGTTAGCTCGTAGCTTCACACACCTGTGTCTGCATTGTTGTGTCAGCATGCTAATGTTAGCGCTCTTTAGTTAGCTCGTAGCTTCGCATTGTTGTGTCAGCATGCTAATGTTAGCGCTCTTTAGTTAGCTCGTAGCTTCACATTGTTGTGTTCAGCATGCTAATGTTAGCGCTCTTTAGTTAGCTCGTAGCTTCACATCACCTGTTCCTGCATTGTTGTGTCAGCATGCTAATGTTAGCGC